ATTTTTTTATTATAATTTAATTTAAGTTTAATAATGAAATAATTTATTTTTGGTTTAATAATATAACATTTTATAAAGATAATAATTAAGTATTCTGTTGGAACTCAATGATTATCCTAATTATGTTTTAGATTTTTTATATTTAAAATGAGATGTTTATCCTGTATTTGATTGTATTTATCTGCAGTTAGTTACACGAATTCAGATATGAAGCTTTAATAAGTTGTACATACGCATAACTTACTTGTAATCTTGAGTTTTAAGTAATATGCATTAATAAACAGTACTTTACGCATAAAAAGTGGTTTTTAAGAGTTTTTGTCAAATGATTTATAATATAGAATATATTTTTTTATATATAATTTAATAATAAAACAATTTATTGTTGGTTTAATATTATAAATTTTATAAAGATAATAATTAAGTATTCTGTTAAAATTTAATGATTATACTAATTATATTTTAGATTTTTTATATTTAAAATGAGATGTTTATCCTATATTTGATTGTGTTTATCTGCAGTTAGTTACACGAATTCATATATGAGATAAAATCGGATAGGGATGAAATCGTTTAGGAATGAACGAGTTTAAGAGTTTTAGCCAAATGCTTTATAATATAGTATATATATATATATATGAAAAATCAATGTATAATGTTATTTATTAAAGGTGCCGCTTCCTGACTGAATGTGTATAGACATGAAGGGAATTCAAGAAATTAATTAAGACAAAAATGATTGTCCTTTAATTACTAGCTAGCTAGTTAGTTGCATGTATTTTTATTTTTTTAAATTAACGGATAAAAACCAACTGATATTAATAAAATTATGAAAGAAATCCTCTTAATTAACCTTTTGACGTATTTATTAAGAATGTGAAAATGATGTAACAACATATCTATCATCAAGTTGGTTGATTAAAAACAACCTATATATCAATCACTTTCAAAAACAGATATATATATATATATATATATATATATATATATATCTAATTGAGTTGTTCATATGGGTTGATAATTGGTTCCGGTCCTCCGACTTTGGCCATGTCTAGCCAAATGTAACCAGGGACCGAGACTAGCTCATAATGGGACCTCTGGAGAAGAGGATAAGGGCCAGGTCAAAAAATTAAGTCCGCCATAACCTGTTTAAAAATGAAGGATTGGAATCATATATGGTAAACATCTGTGAGCGTTGTAGAAAGAAAAGAGGGAAGTAGACATGAATCTAGAAATGACACATAATATATATATATATATATGTATATATATATATATGTATAGATGGTGTTTTTGTTTGAACTGAAACTCAATGGAGATCAAAGGTTGGGACTTGAGATTCGAGACCATGAGTAGCTTGGTACATGAAGCGTGGTATTATGTTCCTGTATGGATCAGACTCTCTTTTCATTTTGCAATAACAAAGACACTTTTCAACCTCCCTCTTTACTTGTATATACACTTGATGTGCTTTCTCTCTATTCCTCAATTCCTGCCTCTTCCCTGAGTGAGTCACTATGAATTAACAAACAACAAAAAATCCATCCAAGTCATATATACATATTACAAAAATAAAGATTCATACATACCTTCCGTTTTAATTGGCTTTCCAAATAAGTAGTAGTAACGCCCAGGAACTTTGGGTAAAAGTATTGGCAAGTGAAGGTCTTGATTTGCAATCTCTCCTTCAATCTCAGTCCTATAATCAACAAACACCAACTCCATTCATTTACTCTCTTTTCATTAATTACTAGGTTACAGAACCAAACATTTACATACCTTAGCTTCATAGACTCCTCAGTTATCTCTTTTACATAATCCTTCACAAAAGGAATCTTCATTTGATCATCATAATCCAGTACCAACTGTCAATACATTTTTTTTTTATTTTTTATTCTTCACCTCACCACTCCATCACCAGGTTCAAAGCAATTAAACAAATTTCGACTTACTTGAGTAAAGTCATCTTCCCCAACAGCTCCAAAAGGTATAATTGTCGCTCCAAATCTACCAGCCATTCTCACAAACTCCGACTGCTCTGGCCAGAATAATTTGTATTCCTCACCCTGAATACATACATTATTGTCATTTAAACAAAGCTATATATATATATATATATATATATATATATATACCTTCCTTCCTTGCTACCTACTTTATGAATAATCAGACAAAACCTGCACACCTCCTAATGTGATGACAGTCATGTCAAAAATCATTGACCATAACCTAGTTAAATGGCCCTTACCTATCAAGTATTGCCAAAGAAGCCCATTTGACTGATGATCTGACATGGATCAAACAAGATGCACACTTGTTCCTTTGGATTTGGTTAAGGTAATTGGCTCCATCAATCACTATGAATTTGTTAAGTAACTAATGAATTATTTGACATCCATCACTTCTCTAATGTCATCAACGTACGAGAATCTCATATCTCAAGTCTTTCATTCATAAATAATTCCACACAAAGGATTTACGGGTGCTAAAGTAAAAAAAGGTATCTTCCTATCCAAGTGAAAATTGAAAGCAAAACCTTGCGAAGCTAAATTATCTTACTGTGAGATGTCTTGATATTGCATATTGATTAGTAGGTTTGGCATCTTCAAAAGTTCATCACTGAGCAATGTTACAACTAATTTTTTGTTACTTGAAAGGAGCACCCACACGTGGTATTGTCTACAAGTCATTGACACAATCATGCTGAATGCTTATCGATGCTGATTGGGCGGTTCCAAAATCGATACAAGGTCCACTCTAGGATATTATGTATTTGTTGGAGAGAATTTGGTTTCATGGAGGAGTAAGAAGCAAAATTTTGTTCCATGATCCAGTGCTGAGTCAGAATATAAGGATATAGCACAATAGGTGTGCGAGAATATGTGAAGACGTGACATCTTCATGAAAGCTTAAAATGGGGTTGAGGTTAATTAACTTTGTAACAATTTGAGCATGATTAGTATTTATGCTCCAAATTGAGGTGCAGTGTTAGCTAGAAATGGATAAGTAGGGTTTCACTTTTTAGTTGGAATTTATATACTTTCCTAATTGTATATATATTTATGTACATCTCCTCTCAACAAAATATATAGAAAATTCGATTACCTCTTTGTACAGAGACATGTTATTCAGATTCTGCTTCTACCTTGGTTAAATTATTTATTGTTTTCTTTAGTTACCCCACTTCTTCCTATCAACTACTTTAGTCATTTGGGGAGAGGAAGGAAAATATCCCAAGTCCTACCTTTCTATGAAGAGCTTCACGCACGCCTCCTGGATACAAGAGGACATGGGACTTCATGGAAAGGAGTTTGTAGAGGTTGGATGCTGATACGGGGACTGCACCCAAAACTCTTGTTACATCATATGTCGCCAGATCAGGCATTTTTCCTTCTCTCAACTTCGTAAATAACATAGGGTGTGCTACTCCTCGAATGATAATATTTCGCTCTAGTATAAAGCGACGAATCATAGGAGCCACTTCAAACCCTAGCATATTGTGGCAACCCACAAATAAGACAGGTCCTTCAGAAGGAATTCCAGATAGGCTTCTCACAATCTTCCCATCTTCCAAAGTTGAGAGCATCACAGGAGAAGTAGCAACATCCAACCATCTGAAGCAAGTTAAACAAAGAATTTTGTCAGATTTAGTGTGAATCCCACCCCCACTACCACCCTAAGCATTGAGCAGAAGAGAGGAAGTGTATCAAGAATACGACATCCGCAATGGAGGGGCAGGTATGACTCAACTCAACGATACCAATCTCCTCTATGGACACTGTTCATTTTCCATATGGTTTAGCATGGATCCAACAGATGGGATCAAGGGTGCCTTTCTTCCGCTATACAAAAGTATAAAGAAAGAAGTGACAGATTAATTCATTCCTAAAGTTCAAGATGAGTCTATGGAGTGCACTTGTAAAGTACTTAGAGATTGATGAATACCCATGAAAGTTGTCGGATGAGAAAACTGATACCAAAGAATCAGACACAATCAAATTGGTCTGGCAAGTGTGTAGAAACTGATACAATCACTAGAAACAGTTACGCTAGTCTCTCTCTCTTTCTCTCTCTATATATGTATATTAATATGTGTGCATGTATAAACACACACGAGTATGTATGTGTATTATTTTATTTTTTCTTTGGGGATGGATGGGAGTTATAAGTTGGGAGGGGATCAGGTATTACTGGAGGTTGGGCAACACCATACATCACATGTATGCCAACTTCTATTCATCTTCAGGAAAAAAGGGGTAGTATGGTCTCTCTGGCTTCCCCTAGCCAGAAATGGTCAGGAGACAACAATTTGCATCAAATCCAGTTTTGAGATGAAGTTTATGGTCCACTTACCTTGCAGAATCTACAATATCTTTGATTTCACGAGGGCTTGGTAGTAAAAAGTCCGAGGCATAATCTGTGTGTTTTGCACGACGATAAAAACCAGCACCCTTTATGACTGTTACCAGATCAAAATCTTCCTCCTGTTACATGTAGATGGCACGATAAATATAGTTTTTGATCAAAAAGATCTAGGTTCATATTTCACTACATAGATTGCTTCTTTAGCCTGAAAAGATAGCAGGGATCAATTTCATTCACCATCTACATAGACATCATATGTCGCCATAGACGGACGCTAACTGTGGGGTGAGTGGTCATAGGACCACCCTCAGTTTTCCATTAACACCTATTATTCCTCAACCGCAGATTTTAGTAATATTTTAAAAAGTACTAATCCTTATTTAACAATTGAAAATTATTATAGGGGTTAAAATAGTCAAAGAAATGGGAAGAAGAAGTTTAATCTCTTACCTCTCAAATTCAAATGCCAAGAAATAATTGTTCTTTCCCTTTACAAAGTAGGGGCATTTTCCCTTTTTTCTCACTAATAACTAACCTAACCTCAGTTTGTGAATGCTTCACTTTTCTGTATTCTTGCTTACATTTTTAAAACCGGTAAACCTCTTATACGTTTTACATATAGGAGAAGGAAGTAGTCAGGTGTTTTGGTTTGTGTTCCTGTTCTATTGTTTTCTAGGAAGCTTAAATATTATGTTTTCATTGTTTAGAAGACCGGTTTATGCTTTGACCGTTTTGATTTTAACGAGTTGAAGATTCAAACCTAACAAAAATTGCTTTCTATCTTTTCTTTTAACTTCTCATCTTATTTCTTTGCTAATGAATGAGTCTTGTCAGAATGTGTATTGATTTTGTTATCAAACAAAATTATAGAACCATTTACAATGCAAAAATGTAAACAAAACCATACATATTACCAAACAAGGCTTTAAATGTAGTTTTATGATCTCTCCCTATTCAATCCCTTAACACTATACTATACTATAGAAAGGACCACTCATTCAAAGGTGTCTAGATCTGTCTATAGCTAAATGGCTTGATGAATCTTATCAGAAGTTAGATTAAACGGATTGCTTACTAGAAAAAGAAAACAGAATATTGAGAAATTGGCTAGTTACTAACTAGAGACTTCACAACAAACAGTATGCACAAGAACTTTGAATTGAATATTACTTTCATCATGGATTTTCTCCTTGAGATGGGCATGGTTTCTATAGTGTTCTATTGTTGTTAAATATGTGGAGGTTAAAGCCTCTCATTCCTATTCTTAGAAAGATGAAAAGTTCACATGTTATAGATTGAATATAAATCCGAACAAAAGATTTGATCTCTATAAAAGTGATAATAAATTCAGAACCTGATATTGACGCTAATCCTATAACAAAGAATAAATTTAAAATCATGCACTTTAGCAATCACAAAGATAAAGCCTGATAGTGTTATATATATTATGTAAAGATCATACACCCAAGAGAGAGAGAGAGAGAGAGAGAGAGAGAGAGGACCATCCTACCAGAAACAGAGCGTGGCAACAACCACTAAATGCACGGATCTGGCATTTAGGCAGAATGCGGCGAAGCCTTTCTCCTTCTTGTAGACTTGGCAATAGCTGATCATTCCCACTGAAAAAGTTAAAAGTATAAAACCTCATCCAGATGAAAAAATTTATAGAAGCACAAAATGGTTGCCACTAAGATTGTTTATAGTAGTTAAAGTGTAAACATTGCCCTATTACTCATAGGTTATCTATTCTCTGTACAACATCATGAATTTAAAAGAAAAGATGGAAACCATTTTTATTAGGTTTGAAATCTCCAACTCATCATGAAGTGCTTTAGTGGTATTTTCTTTTTGTCAATTATCCCTATTACTCTTTGGGTTGAAACGGGTGTGAAAATTCCTTTTCTTGTGTAGAAATAATAATTATTCGTGATCCTGTTCGTCAAAGATTCCTAGTGTTAGTTTCCATTTTTTACAGACGTATCAGAACGTTTTTTTAAAGTTATTACCTATTTTATTTATTATTATATTATCTTATAATAATTACGTAGACTATAAACGTAATACAAAAAGTATGGTGGACAAACAAAAGAGGAGGAGAAAATTTGTTGAGTAAATAAAATTTCTTCAATGAACTTCTAAAAGAATTCTTCCAATTCATGAATTCAAACTTATTACCAAACAGTTCCTATACATGATATACAACATGAGAAACAGAACTACTTGATTTGTCTACGATGCACACAAAGTACGAAAAACCTTCCGTTAAGCCCAGAATAAAAAGTGTATTAGTTCCTTACTATAATCCCAGAATCTAGTGTTTGTTTTTTACTTTTAATAATGAAGCCGCTCTAGATCTAGAGGGCTCTGAATGAGCCTTGCTGCCTTTTCAGAAATGTCTTCTTCACGACAAGAGCTTGTTCAATTTATTTCCAATTTAAGTACTAACGTTATCATCAGTGTACTATCAAAATGGAGAACACTAGAAAGGAACCTCGCGAGGATCAGTGTCTGAGCTGAAACAGAATGCAAACATGAGTTTGAATATGCGCATGCTGATTCTAGCATCTTCAGCTTCCAAAGAACCATCTCGACAGTTAACACATCGGCAAAGTCCTGGGAACCTCAATTATCAGATCTTTTTTATACAATGAACAAAGTATGACAGTTCAAACGTTTAATATCAGTGCATCATCATCAATGATGACAGAAGAATATCGTAGATGGGGCAGTTATTCAACTTCCACGAAGTCAAACAATCTATATGTTGCTTGAGGTACCTAGCATGGCATGGGAGGCAAAAATGACTAAGGTGGGTGCAAACTAATGTTCGTATCTTGTTTAGCTAAAAACGATGATGTAGCCAGCTTAGTGAAAACTTTCTGCTCAAGATCTTGATCAAAATCTGATAAACAAACTCGATATTTCATGACAATGAACAAAACTAGCAAGTGGAGCCTGAGTAAACAACATGTAATAACTATTCCAGTAGTTCCTTGCATCTGTGATCTTAGATAGTGCTCTTAAAAACAAATTAAGTGGCCCACAAGGCATTGGAAGCCAAAACAGGAGCTAATATTATCATCCTTGACATGTTGACCGTGGTAGGGAACACTCTTTGACTTTAGGTCTTACAGAAAGGTAAGAGAACAATGCCCCAACAGCCTCTGAAATATCTATAATTGTTTGTTGTGAAGGAAGTTCTTTCTGTGCAGTGGACATCACCATTCTTGAAGGCACACCTGTATACATAGTGCATGATGTAGAATTTACCAACATAACTACAACTATCAAGGAAAAGACCATAGAAATGAAAAAACCTGTCATTAAGCTCATCACATAAGGAAGGCCAGAATAAATGTGATCAGGTATGATTTTCAATATAGGCAGTAGAGGCTGCAACTGAGACTTGCCAAAACTTGTAGCTTCAAAAAGGAGACCAAGACATAAAATAATAGAAGTCAATAAGTTGCCAAATGACCAAGCCACCATTTATACAATGAACTGCAGTAACAAGCTCTTCACCTGGATTAGCCAAAACTAACACAAGATCAATATGTGGGATACGGGCAGCAACAGCTAGTGCAAGGCATCCACCAACAGATTCACCAACAATATATATCGGCCTGCTTGGAAAATGAGAATTTTCTGACCTAATTGTCGTTTCAACTAGCTTCACAAGATCTGATCGAAAAGAAGAAAGATGCACTAAATTAACATGTTTAAATAAACTAGAAATAGAAAAGGCATATAGATGCATAGGTAAGACTTCAATGCATCTGGATTATTACATCATGATTTTGAAACTTCAAACATGCAGAAAAGAAATAGAAATAGAAATAGATGGATTGGAAATTACACGTGTTATGTCCTAGCCAGTTTAGAGTTATGTACAAAACTCCTTATCCATCAATCAAACAAGGTATGATCTTGACTTCCTGTTATCACTCGGGGCACAGTTAAATAACACCAAAATCTTCATCTAACAGTTGAACAGCACTTCACCTAGTCATCCCATGTTTGCTAATAGTTTAACTATCCAGGTATGTGGTTGTTTCAACTTCATATCTTGTTCTTGTTTCTAATGTATCTTTTTCTAAGTAGAAGCTATGCACTTTCTGACCACTTGAAAGCTTATATATATAGGGTCAGGTTCAGGGGAAAACTGCAAAAAAAATGAGAAACTGAGGAACATCATGGTAACTGTTCATCTGGACAATATGCACATGTGCATACAAGTAAGATGTAAGCAATTTGTCTGATATGCAGATGTGCATAACATCCACACATGCATAAAAACCAAGAAACAACTTCAATTACTTGTATGCACACGTGCATACTGGCCAGATGAACGATTACCAAGGTGTTTCTCAGTTTTTCATTTTTTTGGGTTTTCCCCCTAAACCTTCCTCTCTATATATATAACTTCAGATGATTATTGCACTCCCTGGTAACCTCCAAAAAGGAGCTCTCTATGCCTTAAGTGTGTTGTTGACCCTTACTAAGCTCCAAATTTGGCAGAGTTGTCGCAACACCAACTTTTGCAGTCTTAATCAAATAAATCAGCTCAAGGCTATTTGACTTCATGAATATAGATGGAAACTTGACAATCATGAAGTCTAACATCGCCTACCTATTATCAACTCATCAAACAGAGTGGCATCATAAAATACATTAAGTATGAAGTAAATATTCCTATGTATGAGAGAAATGAAGACCTGTAAAAGGTGTTCGATCCGTGGAAGGAATATGTAAGCACCATATATCAAAAATCCTTCAGTCAAGTAAAGAAAATTCACGATCAGGAATCCCTGTTAGTATTGAATATAAATAATAACAAATATATGTCAAATAAAGTAGCTTCATATGTATATCATACTCCCTTATCCAAATATAGCTGCTGATGTACACAGCTGTCATTGTTCACACATCATATGTGAATTGGAGGATTTCTCATAGAAAGCTTTTCAGTTCAAGAATTTACCTTTTTCTACATTGCATCTTATGAAATAAAGAATTTTTTTCTGGGTGATAGGTTTTGAAATCTGTGGCACTTACTCTCCTAGCCGATGATGATGCAAAAGAAGTGAAAGCCCAGTACCATCAACCCCTGCATACATCATGTTTATGACATTCTGCTATAAACTTTATTGGAAAGAAAGGAACACGAAGACTAAAAAGAAAACCATAGAATTATTCAGCCAGTAGTTAAGAATATTAAGAGAGTTCATGGAGAAGTATTATTTAGGAAGAATATGTTACGTGAATAACATAGGTTAATCTGTAAATTCAGTAGAGCTGTACATAATCAGATAATTTACATCTTTTGTGTACGTAATACTACATAGATGATGTAACCCAAACAAATAATCCACCTTTTGCTGCATATGTTTATGTCAGAAAATCCACCAAGCGGATGTCAGAGATTTCCACAGAAACTGGTAGGCTACAATATAAAAGGATATCATTCTTACCTATATTTATATCCTTCTTACCTTCATTTTGTATGCAACAATGCGGTTCAGAAGTTGAAGAATATTACACGTGACTGGTCCAGTATAAAAGTCCTAGGGACGTGAGGCGTTATTTGGGCTTGGAGGTTCTATGAACCAAGGATATGCTTGCATACTTTTTTCAAAGAACAAACATACATATAAATTACTACTTTGGCGTTTCAACATTCGTTTATATCTTGTATTATACTTGCAGCTTTGTTGCAAAAAAGAGCATAAAATCGTTTAATTGGGAGTCATTTTCTTGTAGTCGTATATCAAAAGATAAAAAGGTATAGTTTGGAAGGAACCTGGTAAAGAGAGCAAGAGAGGAGAGTTGTTTAAGCGGGAGCCACAGTCCAATGGCGAAAACCACCTAGGAGGTCCACCGTCGGATTTGATAAGCAAATTTCTTGACTGTTGGAAGTAGTCGCTAAAACTGAGACCTTCAACCTCACAGTTTCTGATTGCCATCAGGGGTTGCTCCAGTGATAAAGGTTTGAATGTAGCAGTCACGGTGCAAGGGGATGTGGTGCGTTTGACCATAGGGAAGGGACACATACTGGGAAGGCTGGACATGGGGACGATGATAATGAGAATAGACGACGATCTAAGGGCTAAACCTGTGTTTATATCAATTAGAAAGATTCTTTTTGAACTTCCTCGAGTAGACTTCACTTCACTAGATTATGTAAATAGTAAACTCAACCCGGTCTTCCATTAAAATAATCAAGTTCTATTTTATCCACACAGAATTAACCGATAAACATCCATTTCTCTGAATTGATTGCCAAAACAAAAAGGAGAAGAGGAGAAGGGTATTTATACAATAAGCTTTAAATGATTACCTGTAGAAATAAGGCTTCGATTTTGAAAAAAGAAAGGAAGTGAATGGTTCCCGACTCCCGAGTACGTTTGATGGGGACCGTAGAGGAGGAGAAGATAATTAGGAGGAAAACAGGGGTGACGTGGCAAAACAGAAACAAAAGCTATTTCTTTTTTCTCCTCCTCCTCCTCCACCTCCCCGTCCCCGGAAAAACCAAGAAATGAGCTATCAACACTACCCACCACCAGGTAATGGTAATGGTAATTTTGATTTTGATTTCTAAAATCAATCAATAATTTTGTTTCTTTCTTTCTTTTGTTTCATGTATAAAGGGTATGGGTCTACATACCCACCCCCTGCTCTCCCGCCAGGCTACTCATCAGCACATGGCCATCCACCACAATATATGGGTTTGGGTTACCCACCTCCTGCTGCTGCTGCAGATCCATATTCTTATCCACAGCCACAGCCACAGCCACAGCCACAGCCACAACCTCAGCCTCCGGGTTATCAAGGATACTTTGCTCCAGATCAGTATCCTCCACCTTCTCCTCACCCCATTCCTTGCCAAGTTTATCACTGTGAACATTACGATGATCATGATGACTGCTCCTCTTTCCTTAGGGGCTGGTTGGTATCCTTTTCTTGTTAATATATGTTCTTGCATTGCTATTTGCTCATATGGTTGATTACTTGTTTCTTTTGCAGTCTGGCTGCCCTTTGCTTCTGTTGTGTCTTGGAGGAATGCTTTTAAGCTCACTTACAAAAACCTACAAGATGTGATTAGAGATTTTTGTGTAATGTTTTCGTTGTGTTTTGTTATTCCTGTCCTCATACATCCATGTTTTAAGAAGCATAGTCGATTTTTGTTTATTTATCATACCTAGGCTAGGCTACTGCAGCGAATTTGCATAAACTTACTAAATTAGTATTTCATAAGCAAGTACATAAACGTTCTTTTCAGCAACCATCATATACATGTCTGTATTTGCTTCACCAAGACCCACGTGCCTCTTCAACAAATGTTTTTGTATGAGCAACTCAAATTAAAGCAACAGTTGCAAAACACACCCCAACATCATTTGTCCTGCTTTACAAGAGGCTATTGCCCTTTTGATTGTGTATGTAGCACTACTACTTGCAGCACTGGACTAAATCAAATAAAAACACCTCACAACACACTCCATTTGCATCTCATCATTCACAACCAAATATCCATCCTCCGCTCATTCATCACTTGGAACCGAACCAAACATCCCGAGATAATCCAAATCAATGATGAATGTCCGGATTTCCATAGGCCCCAGTTCCACTACTTGCTTTTCAGAATCAACAGCACCTCCCCTCACAATCTTGACTTCTGATAAGTCCTTCACTTTCCAAGCTAGCCTCTTCCTCTCCATCTCACCTCTTTCTTGATTACCCGACAGATTCATCTCAGTCACCTTGCTTATCTGGAAGAAGGAGAAAAAAGACGCAAATAAATGGACAATCCTACTAAGCCAACATATATCTCATGAATACCAACCTTCCTATTAGGAAACAGCTTCTTCAGCTCCACGGTTGCCATTACAGAATAATCTTTGTCCTCCCCCACCTTCAAGTCCATACACAAAGGCCCTTTAAATATCATAATATATGTTGCATGACAAATATTATAAAATACCTAGAATCTATAGCTTCTTCCAATACAAAACCTCGTAAAGATGAGCCAAACGAACAAGTACTTTTCCACTTTCAAGCTCCTGCATGATCAAATACAAATTGATAACATGGTGCCTTCTAAATCAAGAATAACCCAATGAACAAAAGGGCATGGATTCCTAAAGTTACCAGAACAAATGAAACGACTTCTGTTAATCATAGTAAGCGTTTTGACATGCAGCATGAAGCAGTCTTTGATGGTTAGAAAGGAAAAAAAAGTATTTTATCTGCCAAATAATCTAGGACCTTAACTTGGCAGTTCCAACCAAAGCAGAGAATGAACGATAAGAATTGTTCTGCATCCCTACTGCTGATTATGTACCTGTAGAGTTATAACGGCTATGTTGTTTGGCAAGCTATAGGATGCATCAATCATTGAGAAGGATGATACGTGAGAATTTTTCCATTCATTTTCATCCTGCAAGAAATATGTAAAAAGATACACAAGAATACACCCACATAAAAACGTAAGGGCCATATATTTATTTACACCAAGGCTACTCACCAGAGAATCACTTTACCTGTTCTGAAAATGCTAGAAGGAGTGGAGAATAAATTTCTTGACCAAATGTGCGACGCCACTTGGCTCCAGTTCCTACGGGATCGATTCTAAAATAAAATTTTCCCTGGACCTGGAAAACACCATATGTGAATTAGGTGACTGCTATCAGCCTGTGCAAACAATATACATCACAGCAAGAAGGGCAAAACAGCAAAAGAATGCAGATTTGAGTTCCTATCCTGTCCTATATCTCAACTACTCTTGAAGCTCTTTGCTTTTCCTAGATAGTAGCCTGATTTGCATTATCAGAAATGTTCGATGAAGTCAATAACCAAAGCAAAGGGTAAGGATATCTCTGTTTGACAGAGCAAAGATTACTATCAGAAACTTATAGAAGCTACGTGAGAAGTAAATAAAAGTCTTACCAACATTCGCCTGATGAGCACAAAACATATTGATAGTTACACGTGGCACCTAGCTCAAAAGACAAGCAACTGAAGTAAAACAAAACCCTAGCAAGCAATCTCACTCCCATCAAGCACGAGGGTGGAGGCACTCTAATCCCCTACTTATGTCAGATCCGAAAAGAAAGGATGCTGATACTTGCACACTAATTATTAAAGCATGAAATTCATTTTGAAGCATGCGAAATGAAGCAATCCCTTCTTTATGCAAAACTCTTATATATATTGTTCATAAGTTGCATCTACTTCTCATAACCATGGTGGATTTACACCTCCCACTTCATAAATTTGTCATTCTTCTGTATAGATCACAAGTTAATATAAATTTTGGACATTAAATCAGAAGTAGAATTACCAGTGCACGCATTCCTTTAAACATACAATTAGATTCGAAAAAATCAGTTAATAGAGAAAGGGCACAGAAACCCAAGTACTCCAAAAAAATATAAGAAGATCAGACTGACAGACAGTGCACAAGAGGATACGCACATGTATATAGATCTACCGTTCTACTGTCAGATGATGGCATGTAAGGAATGTTTTTGCATGTTATACTTGCAAAGCAAGTAGCAAAGTCCCATTGATAGATGGACATATGTACAATGAAGCAACATGCTTACCACCAAGCCCTTGCAATCATTGAGGACACAGATGGTCTCATTTAGCACCTCTCCAACACCTTTCAAATCATCGCATAGTAGCCTCCTACAAAAAATTATAGCAAAAGTAAAAAAAATCAGTTTATCACATACAAATACAACTCTTCTAAAATATCAGATTGTCATATGTACATATGGTAATTGGAATCCGTTACAAGTCTTAGGTATTGTTGTATAAGATTGGCCTCTTTATTGTTCAAAGTTAGAAGTTCTATTTCATGTTTAAATGGCTGATACGTAAGATGCTATCTAGCAAGCACAAGTTGAACCCTGTTTCATTATTATTTAATATAATATACCAACTAAAGTCATAGAAAATTAGAAATGATGATTTAGACCATCCACATCAATGCAATATCATCCATCGTTCAAAAGTGTAAAGTCACTTTTTGCAATTACATCCTACATCAATATATTACATCCATGATACATTCTTTCAAAAGTGGTCTCCACTACCCATCAACAACTACTTTGTAATGTATACGACACACTTTAATCATTTATAATTTAACAAAAAATACCAAATATAATCTATTTATGTCAATTTAATACTCATTAAACTATTAGGAATAATATTACCTAATCAATAAACTAATTATTAAGATGTATAATTTAATTGTAAAATGTAAACTTTTAACCGAATAATTTTATTTGAACTGTCTTATGAATTTGCCTAAGTAGACCAGAATATTTTATAATTTTATCACTGTAGTCAATATTAATTGTAGTAGATTGCATATTCTTTTTATAATTTTATTACTGTTTCATGTGTAAGTTTATCTACTTGTAAGTTGTATTTCTATTTTAATAATCAAAATATCATTGTTTATAAAATATTTTTTAATTATACAATTTTAATAGCCAAAACATTGTTGTTAAGTTACTAATGTATAATTCAGAATATTATTTTTACTATAATATAAATAATAAATTAATCTAATAAAAGAAAACCAGTTAATCAAGTATTTTTAAAAGTAAACTGTATTTTTGGTCCTTGTGGTATGTTCGAAATTATGGATACCATCTATGTGGTTCGTTTATTACATTGGTTGTTGACTCGTCGCTGTGGTTTGCAAATCCTAACGGATTTGGTCCCTCGCCCACGTTAAGTGAGCTCACATGCCCTGCATGCCATAAGCAATTTTGTTTCTTTAGGTAGCATTTGGTACGCACATATGATTGGACTAGAGTTGAACATGAGAGTTGGACTGGACAAGTTGTCTGTCTAGACAGAAAAAGTTGACACCCTCTCTCTCTCCTCGTCCTAAACTAATGAATCTTCAAACCCTAAACTATATCAAAAAACCCTATTCCTAAATCTTTAAAAAGTACATGAAAAACCCGTCAAAATAAAAAACTACTGACCCTTAACCCAAGTATCATATTTGCTTATTTACTAAAATCGCCCTTTTTGGGGGGGGGGGGGGGGGGAGGATGGATTGTTAGTGTAGACGATTTGGAAGATATAATCGGCGGCGGCGGACTACTGCTGTCCCATTCTTGAGTGAGCTGGAGCGCAGCCATCTTATCCACTGAACTAGCTAGAAGCTATCGCTTCGGGAGAAATAGAAAAAACCAAATACTCTTTGAATCCATTTTCTCTATTTGTTTTGCTTTAAGATTCATTTTATTCTAGGAGTCTTTTGCTTATTAGTTTAAATACCTTCATTGTTTACCTTTTAGGAAATATAGATCGATTTATTATGATTCAATTATCTGCAATTGAATAGGGAGACATTACCGCCTCCCCGAAGCTGCAAGGTATAAATATTCTACTCTTGGCATTTTCTTGATTCGTTATCAAATTGGTATCAGAGCCTACCGCTGCTGTTCAGGACTAGTATTCAGAACTGTACTTAAGGTGTTTTACATCAGACAAACCACGACTTTGGAAGAGATGGTTGCATAGGTTGAATATTAGTACAATACCACGTACCACAACTTCATTAGTTGTTCATTTAAAGCGTTATATGGGAAAGATGCTCCAACAATATTGCGATTTAAAGAAGGATCAACGGTTGTTCCAGCCGTTGAACAAATGTTGAAAGAGAGAGATGATGCGAATGATATGCTACAAATGTTCTTAATGCAAGCGCAACACAAAATGAAACAACAAGCTGATGGGCATAGGAAGGAGGTAAATTTTGACATCAGAGATATGGTCTTCTTGTAGCTTAGGCCCTACGAAACAAAATCTTTAAGGATAAGCAACAATCAAAAGTTGTTTGCACGCTTTTATGGACCATTTAAACAGGTAGGCAAGGTGGGAAAGGTGGCTTATTGATTAGAATTGCAGTAGCTACACGACTCCATCCAGTGTTTCATGTCTCTCAATTGAGGAGAGCAATCGGATAGTGCCTCTCATTCAACCATATTGCCAGATCAACTGAATGACGATATGGAAATGATGGTAGAACCAGAACATGTCTTACAAGTGCAAACAACACACGATGGATGACAAGAAGCATTGATCAAATGGAAGAATTTACCCGTATTATTTGACGCTTCCTGGGAAGATTGTGAAGCACTGAAGATTAATTTCCTTCTTTTCATTCTAAGGACAAGATGCAAGTGTTTGGGGGGGGGGGGGGGGGGGGGGGGGGGGGGGGGGGGGGGGGGGGGGGGGGGGGGGGGTGGGGGGAGGGGGTGGGGGGGGGGGGGGGGGGGGGGTNGGGGGGAGGGGGTATTGATAGACTTTAGAGTATAAAGACATGCAATAAGAAAAGAGAAGAGGGCAGAATGATAATATAAAAATAAAGCACAAGCTCTGGATAAGTCCTCAGGTTTATAGATAATTATCTCAAAATAATTATATTTTCTCTATTTGTTTGGTTTAGGATTCATTTTATTCTAGGAGTCTTTTGCTTATTAGTTTAAATACCTTCATTGTTTACCTTTTTGGAAATATAGACCGATTTATTATGATTCAATTCTCTGCAATTGAATAGGGAGACATTGCCGCCTCTCGGAAGCTGCAAGGTATAAATATTCTACTCTTGGCATTTTCTTGACTCGTTATCAAATTGGTATCAAAGCCTACCGCTGCTGTTCAGGATTAGTATTTACAACTGTATTTCAGGTGTTTTACATCAGACAAGCCACGACTGTGGAAGAAGTGGTTGGCATAGGCTGAATATTAGTACAATACCACGTACCACAACTTCATTAGTTGTTCACCATTTAAAGCGTTATATGGGAAAGATGCTCCAACAATATTGCGATTTAAAGAAGGATCAACGGTTGTTCCAGCCGTTGAACAAATGTTGAAAGACACAGATGATGCGAATGATATGGTAAGAATGTTCTTAATGCAAGCGCAACACAGAATGAAACAAGCTGATGAGCGTAGGAAGGAGGTAAATTTTGGCGTTCAAGATATGGTTTTCTTGAAGCTTAGGACCTACTGACAAAAATCTTTAAAGAGAAGCAACAATCATAAGTTGTCTGCACACTTCTATGGACCATTTAAACTCGCAAGGTGGGAAAGGTGGCTAATCGCTTAGAATTGCCAGCAGCTACATGACTCCATCCAGTGTTTCATGTCTCTCAATCAAGAAGAGCAATTGGACAGTGCGTCTCGTCAACCATATATGCCGGATCAACTGAATGACGATATGGAAATGATAGTAGAACCAGGAAATGTCTTACAAGTGCAAACAACACGTATTACAAGTGCAAACAATACGTGATGGAAGACAAGAAGCATTGATCAAATGGAAGAATTTACCTGTATTATTTGAAGCTTCCTGGGAAGATTGTGAAGCATTGAAGATACAATTTCCTTCTAAGGACAAGATGCAAGTGTTGGCACGAGGGGGGGTATTGATAGACTTTAGAGTATAAAGACATGCAATAAGAAAAGAGAAGAGGGCAGAATGATAATATAAAGATAAAGCACAAGTTTTGGATAAATCCTCAGGTTTATAGATAATTATCTCAAAATAATTATGTTTTCTCTATTTATTTTGCTTTAGGATTCGTTTTATTCTAGGAGTCTTTTGCTTATTAGTTTAAATACCTTCATTGCTTACCTTTTTGGAAGTATAGATCGATTTATTATAATTCAATTCTCTGCAATTGAATAAGGAGAGACTGCAGCATCTCAAAAGCTGCAGCATCTCACTTCGTTCTCCGTTCATGAGGTCTGGCTCTCCCTCCGTCCTAATGAGCCCGATGTCTCCTGACATCATATGGTCTGGTTTTCCCAAAACATTTCCAGACATGCCTTAATCCTGTGGGTTGCCCTCAAGTAGCGTCTCAAGACGCATGATAAGCTTCGGTTCTGGGAGGCCCACTCCAACCTGTCCTGTGCGTTCTGTCATAACGAGCATGATTCGCATTCGCATCTTTTCTTTGAGTGTACGTTCCCTAATCAGGTTTGGAATGACTTAAAGCCCAAGCTGAACCTCACTGGTGTCCCGGATAACTGGGCTGTTATTATTGGTATGTTCCAGCAAGCCACCAAAGGAAAGACCATCTGGTCTATCATTCGTAGATTAGTGCTTGCTGGCTGGAAAGGAATAATCGCATCTTCAAAAACAAAAGAAGATCACATATTATGGTGATTAAGACAATTACCGATGATGTCCGGTCCAGGCTCCTTAGCCTGACCTTTAAGCCCTCCCCAAATGTTGTCCGGGCTCGGCTTGCCTGGAACCTCCCTTAGTTGTTCGCTTTCTTGTGCTGTCTTTCTGGTCTTGTGAGCTCCTTTGTTCTCTTGGTTTTCTTGGTGCGGTCTAGAGTGTGCCTGTTTTAGGCCCCTTTTCTTGCCCTTGCGGTTTCCCCCGTTTGCTTCCCAATCTTGGCTTGGCTGGGCCCTTCCCTTGCGGTTGGTTTCTTTCTTCCTCTCTCTCTCCCCTCCTTTCTCTCTTCCCCTCCTCTTTCTCTCTCTCTCTTTCCCCCTTCTCTTCTTTTCTTTCTCTCCCTTTCTTTCCCCTCGGGGAGCCTTGGATTATTCTGGTGGATGTGGTTCGCTCCAACCCGAACGCGTATTTTGATCAGCTTCTAGCGTTTAGTGTTTTTGTCTTGATAGGAGGGCCTCCCCCCTCTATATCAAAAAAAAAGTTTCAAGGTATTAATATTCTACTCTTGGCATTCTTTTTACTTTGATCAGAATGTTGCAAGGCATTAATATGCTGATTTGGTTGCCTGGTGGGTCGATGTGGTGGTGGGTATTGTTCTGGGACCTCTGGTAGTGATTATGGATTTGGGACAAGGTTCTAAATGGCGTGAGGCATGGCGGCGAGGTCAAGCCTTAATCCTTACGAGTTACGGCAAGGCCATGACTTTTTCCAAAGCGTGGCTTAAGGCAGCAAGTCTATAATATATATATATATATATATATGTGTGTGTGCGCGTGTGTGTGTGTGTTTATGTCAGTGTCTAGAACAATAATGACTAAGTTAACAATTTAAATTCATATAAAACGGTAAACAAACGAAGAACCATTTACTGATAATTTGATATCAAATATACAAAGTTTACAAAATGATTTCAAATATACAATTCCTGTTTGGTAATCAAACAGCAAAATCAATGTAATGAAATCAAAGAACAGCAAATGAAAGCAATCAAACAATATTTTTCATATGTTGGGAAGTCATTTAGGTTTTTCTTTTTCCCCATTTTGTTGATTAAGCATTTGGCTTGAATAAACTATAGAGTTATATTTACATTTACTCCTATTCAAGTTTTAAAAATTGCAAATTTCCCCCTATGCCTTATAACACCATATCACTTGTAACGCCATACCATGGTGCGCCAAAACGAGCTCGACACCTTATATCCACGCCAAGGGGGTTAACGTGGCGGCAAGGCCACGCCATGGCACGTTTTTTAGAACATTGATTTGAAACCAATTTATTTTCATTGAAGTGAGGGAGAGGCTGAAAAACATCTCCTATGGTGGTGCTTAAGTGTACAAGCTTAACAAAATGTGTAGTAGTGGCTTATATGTAGATACAGGGCCTACATGCAACACCCTAATTACATGTGTAAGCATTCAGAGAAGAGCCGTTAGAGTGTAGGTGCACTTCATCAATGATAGTGAAAAACATACCTATGGAGCATTAGTTCTATTTGACCATCTACTAAACTCGAGCCCCCAACCGCACGATCCACCAGCACCGACAGTTCCATCCTTCCATCCCCAACATAAGCTCCAAGATTTATCTAAGCAATCATGAGTACACACCAATACCAAGGGAAAATAACATGTTAAATTGAGATCATTGCCCAAATTTATGATTAATCATTAAAAAGGACAGTACAACAGTGAATGTCCTGGCCCTGAAGATTCCTCAATAGATAAAATAGTAAAACAAGTTATACGGTTGCATGCAGGGAAGGTTTCACTTTGAAGATAGGAGTTAATGATGTGCATCTTCAAATAAAATATACCCACAGCAGATAATGGCCAATGTGTAACCTGATTATAGCCAAACAAACTATGAGAGATTAGGCGAACACATACTGGGTAATAATTTCCAGCAACTGGTTGGTTCACTTGCAAGTCCCAGTCTGTTCTGAAATCACGTACCTGCAAAACAGTGATTTTTATCAGACTGCAAACATCAGATACCCTAAGTTCAAAATCTTACTAAGGAGATTTTGTTGTGGTACCAAATTCAAAATGCAACAGTTGACTCAAGCAACAGAAGTATTAGAGTATAAAGATAGCCATATATCCATATACCCTTTTAATGAAGTCTCTCCCATTAGAATCAGTATAGAACGTCTTGTTCGTCTTGAAGGCAGTCGTGATCTGAGTTGTTATTTCTTTCCCAACACCATCATCTACAGGGATAGGTCCAATCTAGTACCAAATCATGGAATATGTAATCAGATGGTATGTACTGGTTGACAGAAAACTACAACAACTGCATAAAATCAAGCCAACACACAACTTACGATAAACTCAACTTCAGCATGTTCCTTCTCCTTGTATACACGGGTGACCTGCATGCACGAGCTTTATGTCAATGAGAGGAAAGGCACAATATGCAACTTAACATTGGCAGTTGCATGTGCTATATTATGTGTCTGTTTGTGTATGATAGATAGCTGACATATCTATAGTGCTTTATGAGTAGTCACATCACATGTTGAGTTACATCAAACAATTATGAGCTATAATACATGTTTGTTTGTGTGTGACTGGTAGCTGACTTATCTATAGCACTTTATGAGTAGTCACATGTGCCACATAAATTTGAGTTCACTTCAAACAGAAAGTTTCTTGAAGAAAGTAATTCAAAACATCATAAATGCATTGAAACTGCATGAATACATGCAATTACAAGGGGATACAAAAAACAATGAAAGAAATGACTAAAACCTGAAAAAAGAAGCAAACACAAAAACAACTACCCCTTCACAACTAAATATATACCTGATATATCCAGGAGTTGAGCTGTTGGTGCACTTCATCCATTAGGGGACCCCTTAGAATAGTAAAAGCTTTCTGTAACAAAATAAAGCCTCAGGAACTGGACAAGCACTTGCAACATGTAGTGCAGTTCTTGTTTTGATTACCCCAAAATAGGGCAGCAAAAGGAGGATGGTTTACCTCCCCTTCGGATTTTATCAGAAATGTACCATTAGGACGGAAGATATAAGCTCCAGAGGCCTTCAAAAATAGGAACAACTTCAGAGGATGAACAAAATTCATGTAATTTCACTGTTAAAAAAATGCAAAAAGAAAAAACAAACGAAATTGAACAAACTATAATTAGTAAGCCTACATACACATACCCCTCCCAATTCCAGGTGAGAAATATGCATGTACCTGATCTGTGCCATTATACCCAGAATAGTAGCTGTATGAGTGTTCCATTGATTCTTCAACCTTGAGTCATATGCCAAGAAAGAGATGTTAATTTTATGTTTGAACAAGCGATGATGTGTGTCTTTCATGCTTCTACATATTATGCACCATATATTGGTGCATAACATGTCTTTCAAGCTGTCTACGATGTGCTACAGGGTAGTATCTCAAGAAAGAACTTATACTAACAAAAAGATGTTAAAAGCAAAAGATTAAAAGAACACTGATTCATTTATATCACATGGATACTGCAAAATTAAATAAGAATAATCAGTAATTTGAATTTGAGGAATTGCAGATACCATGTTTCTGTTATTGATATAACTTGTAAGCTTGCCCTCATCTGTAGCATAAAGCAGCTTCAAATCTCCTCCACCAACTACTACAGTTTTATCACTAGTACTGTCGGATGTCCACATTGTTGACATTATTGAACTTCTATCTGCTTATCATTGCTACAGATGTCATATTATCTATAATATTTGTGACCTTAATTTCCAAATTGTAACAACACATTCAAGCAGATGACCTGTGTGCTTTGCACTTGAGATGATGTACGTGCTGAAACCAAGAGGTGGCGTGGTTGCTGTAAATCCAAGCCAATACTGGGGTGTAGTGCTTGGAGATTTACCAAGATATGCTTTAACATGGTAGTCCCTCATGTTCAAAGAGGAATTGAATATGGGAAGGAGCTGTGATTCAATTTCTCTTCCACTTGAATCCAGGACGATTAATTCATGGGAGGAAACCTGCAGCAATTTCGCATTTAGTCAAATAGCCAATCAACGGATGTGAATTTTATCATAGAACGGTTATTCACAAACGAGGGAACTATATTCTATCTTACTTGGTGAGTGCAACAAGCTGCATACAGAACGACATACGTTTTGAATTGATCCCGGGAATACAATAGAACCCCATTCTGATCCAGCAGAATTACTTATTTAAATCCCCCCTAGCATAGACAAAGAGTTTTATTTGCTTGACCAGCTTCGATGAGTTGTCAAAAACTCCATATTTGGAACATCTAGTTGTCTCAATTAGAACTATTAATGAGCTATGGTCAATTAACAAATACGAAAAATTGGTAAGTTCACCTCATATAATCTCATACTCATGTTCAGTATAGATTCAATACTTCCTCATCTTTTTTCTTGATCCTTTTGTTTCCTTATCCAAGTATTTAATAAATGAAAAGAAACATGTTTTCCATTTAAAAGTAACTAATAGATAATGAAAATGAACTCCGGATATTTTGTGTTCCCCCGATTTACCTCAGTTTCATCTGGCCATTCTTTTCCTAGTATGAGGAGTTACCTGCAGATTGTTCATTACTTAACCAAGGCAAACTGTTTTAGGCAACATTAAGTGCACTTGTTTGTTTCCTGGCAAGTTTTTAACCCATTATTATTAATATTCAGTCTCGTGCCAACTGACTCGTAAGTTTCTTACAGGTCTCTGGTAGTGCGCTAAAAGTTACATCCCACCACGGTTTTAGCTGATTTGGAAGTTAAATATAAGTTCAGTTTTCTGCTTGGCCTTGGGGCAAAAGACAACGGCATCATATTAGTGGTTCCAGTAGTTGTGATGGTTCCAGAGCCAATGCGACCCATTCATTTCGGATGCACGAAGGGCATTACGAATTTTTGGCCATGCCCTTCGTGCTGACAAAGGCACCGGCAACATTCCAAGCTTTGATGAATGCGGTGTTTCGACCATTGTTGAGGAGCATCGGGGCATTGAAAACGGTGTTCCAGCAGTTATTGAAATACAGTGTTTGCAAGCAAAAAAATGCGAATTTGGGAAGAAACAACTAGTGTATTTGGGGCACGTAATTTCCTCGAAAGGAGTGGCAATGAATGGGTCGAAAGTGGAGGCGATGTTACAATATCCGAGGCCAAGATCGGTAACACAATTAAGGGGTTTCTTGGGCTTAAAGGATACGGGGAAATTGCAAGATCGTTAACGGGCCTGCTTAAAGAACAGAATTTTAGTTGGAACAAAGAAGCAGCAGGGGCGTTTGAGACACTCCAGCAGGCTTTGGTGCAGGCTCCGGTATTAGCATTGCCAGATTTTTCTCAACTCTATGTCACTGAGACAGACGCATGTGGAAGTGGATTGGGTGCAGTATTGATGCAAAATGAACTGCTGATAGCTTTTCATAGTCAAGTATTGGGATGAAAGCTCGACAAAAACCGATTTATGAAAAAGAGTTGATGGCGATAGTGTTAGCAATTATGAAGTGGTGTCCTTATTTACTGGGTTGGAAGTAAGAACTGATCAGCAAAGTTTGAAGTTCTTATTGGAACAACGAGTTGTGGAGCCGCAATATCAGAAATGGTTAGTCAAATTGTTGGCATAGAATTTCGAGATTGTATATAAGGCTGGTAAGAGAAACGTGGCCCAGATGCACTGTTCAGATGGGATGTGAGTTGTCGGTGATGGCGGACCACAGTGGCGTCAATGAGAAATGATCAAGGAGGAAGTAAAACAGGATACGGTTCTTGGACAGATTGTTAAGGATCTCATAAATGAGGTAGGGGAACATAAAGGGTTCTCAACAGGACCTACTGTGGTACAAAGATAGAGTGGTTATCTCAAGGGACTCATCGGTTGATTCCGGTAATATTGGAGAAGCTTCATGCGTCACCAATAAGGGGGCATTTGGGGGAAGGAAGGACATGTCAAAGGGTGGCATCAGAATTGTTTTGGATAGGGATGAAATAGTCGGGGGACCTGAGAAGCGGTGGTTTAGCCTGCGGCGGATGTCAGGAGGGTAAAAACACAAGAATCCTCTTTATCTATAACATAACTTAATTGAGGGATTATTTTCTGAAAGAATGTTTGGGCCTATCAAAACTGGAATTTGTCGGATAGCAAGGAGTTTGTATGGAGTTGTGAAGTCTGCCAAAGGAATAAAGCTTTGGGGGGTTCACCAGCAAGTCTATTGAAGGTATGGGACAAAGTAACGATGAACTTATTGAAGGTTTACCCAAGTCCAAAGGTGTAGATATAATTTTGGTCGTAGTTGATCGATTGAGTAAATTCGCAGATTTCATGGCATTGAAACTATTAGCTGTTAATTAGCTATTAGCTGTAAATTAGTTGTATCATTTTTAGAATTAGTCTTATCTATTTTAGGTTGTTATTTGGTAAATGATCCCCCTAAATGAGTGGAGATCAGTTCCTGATTTGTAGCTTCTCCTTTGTATTTATATTCGAATGTTTGTGAATAAAGATCATCTTGGGGAAATACATTTGCTTTCATGGTATCAAAGCTAGGCTCAATACCCTAGCTCTCGTTCTTCTCAAATCACCAAAGATCAAACCACGGTTTGATTTCTTCTCTGCCATCACCTTCCAGTTGCTATCCATGCCTGACGAGCCTGAAAATGTCGCCAAGACCCTTCACCCCGTTTACATCGTGACCAACATTCAACACAAAGTCCGGGTGCTGGACAGTACGAAGGCCTCATACTCTTCGTGGGTCAAGTTATTTCAACTACATGCCAAGGGATACAAAGTCATGTCACATATTGACGGGACAGCGCGTCCGGCCAAAACTGATACAGAGAATGAAGCATGGACTGAAATTGATGCGATTGAATTGCAATGGATTTACGGGACGTTGTCCGATGATTTATTGGTTCGTGTCGTGGTAACCGAGTCAACTTCCCACAAAGCATGGTCTCGAATCAAATCCATTTTCCTCAACAACAAGGGCTCTAGGGAGGCCCTAGAGCATGAATTCAATAACCTCGCATTAAAATCCATGCCGTCTCTTGAAGCTTACTGCCAAAAACTCAAGGAACTGGGCAGTCAACTCAATGACGTGGATTGTCCGGTTAATGATCAAAGGCTCGTTCAGTCGTTCTTCAACTTGTTAGAGGACTTCCGATAGAATACGACACCAAGGCCTCGTATTCAGGCCCAATAATCTCACTGCCTTTAACCCCCTTGAGCCAATTCAACTTGGTGAAGCACTTCAGACAATGACCATGGACCCGGTTGACGATCAATGGTACATGGACTCGGGTGCAACAGACCATCTCACGAGCAACCAAGGTAAGATTTCTAAACCCTCGTTAAATTGTCCCATTTGCTCAATATTTGTTGGTAATGGTGCTCCTATGCCGGTTCATCAAGTTCCTCCACCATTCCAACAACCACACGTAACCTACACCTAAACAACATTCTTTACACACCCAACATCATTAAGAATCTCATTTTTGTTCGTAAACTTTCTGTTGATAATGATGTTTCCTTTGAATTTGATCCCAATGGGTTTTTTGTGAAGGATTACTAGAGTGGTCAGATGTTATCCTGCCACAATAGCTCGAACCGTCTATATCCTCTCACCTATCCGGTCACCAACTCCACTTTTTTCACCTCCGGTGCTCGAGATGTTTGGCATGATCAATTGGGACATACCGGTCTTCCTGTTTTGGATTTTCTTAGTTTGAGTAATATTATTCCATGTCCTAAACGTAGTAGATCTTTGGTTTGCAATTCTTGTCAGCTTTCAAAGCACAAACGATTAACGTTTTCCGATTCTAATTCTATTATTGTTTTATCGTTTGATATTGTTCATTGTGACTTATGGATCCCCAGCAAAAACAGGTTATAAATATTACATGGTTTTAATAGACGATTTCACACAATATTCTTGGGTTTTCCAATAAAATTCAAGTCTGAAACATTTTCCAAATTCTCTCAGTTTCATAAATACATCCAAACTCAATTCAATCTCACAATTAAAGCTTTTCAATGTGACTTAGAGGGTGAATTCTATAACCAAAATTTCAAATCTTTTGCTGAAACAGACAGTCTTCTCTTCCACTTCTCTTGCCCTCACACTTCCCAAAAAAAAGGGAAATCCAAGTGTATGATTCGTAGACTTAACGAGATCATACTCACTCTTCTCACACACGCATCTCTCCCACTCCATTTCTAGGTTGAAGCATTACATACCACGTGTTATCTCCACAACATTCTCCCCAACAAACTCTTAAAATTCACCACCCTTATGACTGCTCTTTATCATCGACAACCTTCCTATGACCACCTACGGGTTTTCGGGTGTGCGTGTTATCCTAACACAACTGCGACACGAAAAACCAAGTTGGAACACCGGTCCACTCGTTGTATCTTCCTCGGGTACCACGCCAATTTTCGCGGGTATCGGTGCCTTGACCTTTCTTCCGGCAACGTCCTCCTCTCCTCTCTCGTCACGTCACTTTCGACGAGACATCTTTTCCATTTTCTGAAGATCATCCCACCGCACCCTTAGACTACTCATTCCTCGAGTCTGACCCATCTCCTACCATCTTTGACCCACCAGCCACTTTATATCGTACTCCCCTGCCATCTACCCAAAACACTTCCCCGTCTACCATTCTTCAACAGCCCCCTCTTATCCTTTCACAAGAAAATTATGCCACTACCATTCTATCATGGGCTCATATGGCGGATTGCAAACCCAGTTCCACTCCTGTTGACACTTCCCCCAAAATGAGTGCAACAAGTGGTAAACTACTACCTGATAGGACACGTTATCGCCAATTGGCAGGAGCTTTACAGTATCTTACTATCACCTGCTCGGATCTTACATATGCAATACAACAAATTTGCTTATTCATGCATGTCCCACGTGATCCACACTTCCAGTTCCTCAAACGAGTTCTCAATTATCTTAAAGGAACAATTACTTATGGACTCCGTATCTCACCCTTCAAATCGACCCAACTTATTGCATATTCTGACGCTGATTGGGGGGGTGCCCTGACTCTCGCTGCTCCACTTTCGGGTATTGTGTTTTCTTAGGAGATAATTTGGTTTCCTGGTCATCAAAACGTCATCCAACCATATCTCGATCAAGCGCTGAGGCAGAATATCGTGGGGTTGCAAATGCAGTTGCCGAAACGAGTTGGCTGCGCAACTTACTTCTTGAACTTTATGTTCCCACTCGCAAGGCTACAGTTGTTTTTTAGAGAGAATATATCGGTTGTATACTTATCTAAAAATTTCGTACAACATCAACGTACAAAACATGTGGAACTTGATATTCATTCCGTCACAGAAAAGGTCATAATTGGTGCAGTCCGGGTTTTACATGTTCCAGCCGATTTTCAGTACGCCGACATCTTCACAAAAGGGCTACGTGGTCATCTTTTCCACCGTTTTCGGTCCAATCTGTGCATTTGTCCTTCTACTGCTCAGACTGAAGGGGTGTATTAGCTGTAAATTAGCTGTATCATTTTTAGACTTAGTCTTATCTATTTTAGGTTGTTATTTGGTAAACGATCCCCCCTAAATGAGTGGAGATCAGTTCCTGATTTGTAGCTTCTCCTTTGTATTTATATTCGAATGTTTGTGAATAAAGATCATCTTGGGGAAATACATTTGCTTTCAGAAACATTCATTTAAATCAGACGGTGGCTGGAGTTTTCATACAAGAAAGAGTGCGTTTGCATGGGAATCCTAAGGCCATAATTTCCGACAGATATAAGGTGTTCGTGAGCAATTTCTGGAAAGAGATGTTTAAACTGCAAGAAACCAAGTTATGTTTTACAACAGCATACCATCCTCAGTCGCACGGGAAATTGGAAGTGGTAAATCAATGTTTAAAGCAGCATCTTCGATATTTCGTTGCTGGCAAACCGAAACAATGGCTGAAATGGTTGGGATGGGCAGAATATTGGTACAATACGACTTTTCATGGGGCAATTAAGTGCTCACCATTTAAGGCACTTTATGGTTGTGATCCACCGGCGTTGCTCAAACAAGGAAGGTTCTGCCTTTTGCGGTAATCCAATTGATTGAAGAGATGTTACTGGAAAGGGATAATATGTTAGATGAACTTCGCATGCAATTGATTTGAGCTCAACAAAAGATGAAGTTGCAAGCCAATAGACATCGGCGACGAGCAGAGTTTGTGGTGGGGGAGTTGGTGTTTCTTAAGCTCCGACCTTATCGTCAAAAGTCATTGCAAGATAGGCGTAATCAGAAGTTGGCACCAAGGTTTTATGGACCATTCAAAGTAACGGAGACGGTGGGTAAGGTGGCGTACAGGCTGCAACTATCTCAACAGCTCGAATACATCCAGTGTTTCATGTGTCTCAATTACGGAAAGCAATTGGGTCGAATTTTATGCTACAGAGCTTCCTAGTCAGCTAAGTGACGAAGGGGTGTTGGAGGTCGAATCAGAAGAATTGTTGCAATGTAGAATGACAAGAGCAGGGGTAATAGAAGTACTAATCGAGTGGAAGAATTTGCCCCAATTTGAGGCAATGTGGGAAGACTTTGAATTGTTGAGTTCTCAATTTTCCAATTTTCACCTTGAAGACGAGGTGAAAGCTTGGAAGGAGGGTATTGTTAGGCCTGATATACGATATACATATTCTAGAAAAAGGAAAGGGTAATTTGGGAAATTCAATTAGGAGAAATGGGTGGGATTATGTTTGTCAGGTAGTGTAGTCAGTTGGGGAGGGGGTTGTATAGTGTTGAAGGAATACAATTATCAGTTTGTGGGGAAAAGGGGTTATCAAGTTTTGTCTGATGTAATCGTGGAGAGCCCTAACCTCTCAAAAGTTAGGAAGGCAATAAACATTCAATTTCCAACATAAGCTTCGTGTGATTGCAATTGATTTCTTTAAATTGCAACAGATTCTGGTTTTTGGTCTAGCTTGATGAGGAGATCAAGGATTCATGTGGTGGACATTCCAATATCACGTTCCTCACCAACTCTCGTCCTAAATTCTGCTAAATAAAGTATCAGCATCTTTTTAGGAGATTTGGAGGTAATTTCAACCAACTTCTATTTTGGGGCAGGGGTACTATATTTTAAATTTTGACTTAATATACACCAGAAAGATTTAGGAAACGTTGAAACATAAAGAACATGGTTGGAACTGTATTTCGTTTTCTATACTTCCAAAGACTTTTAACATTTATAACACTAGCAGAAACAAAGAAAGGAAAGTAGTAACTCATGCTAACTTATAAAAATATATATTTAAGATGCAAGATGATGATAAAGGAACAGTGGCAGCACTCACAGGAACTCGGACCACTTCTTCTCTCTTCCATCCTAGGGAGTTGTAGACAACTACCACCTACAATAATAAAACAGCTTCATACGATGGTGATTTAAACATCAAACATATTAGGAAAAAAAAAACCGAGATTAACAGTATGCTTACCAAACTCTTTCCATTAGCCAAAACAACTTCTGATGGAGGACAGTAGCTTATGTTAAGGAGAGGACACTGACATATCAAAATACCAATTGGCAATTGGCCAAATTTGTAAACGAAGTTAGAAGAAATAGAGGAGCAAAGTTGCAGTTATGTGTGTTGGGCCAAGCATGCGACCAGCACAGATTACCTGCTGAAACATGCCAACTGATTTTTCATAGTTGGCACTTGATCTTGACGTTGTTAGATATGCTAATGTCGAAGCAACTACTTCCTCAGCCTGCACATATGTGAAACTAGAATAATTGACATGTGTATTTCTTATTAGACAAGGCCAGACAAAAGAAAGCAGAGTTCTCCTAGTTTTTCATTTCAAATAATACTAATATTAAGTTTTAAAAGGTCATGGATTAGTAGGCCCGTTCATATAGAAAACAATCGTTGAAATCAATCTGTGAAGCTTATGACTTAAAGCCAAGAGTTTCAGCATTTTTATCCTATGCTACCTGGCCATGCCATCTTGGATAGCATAGAGAGATTGCATGGAAGGGCTGAACTTTAGGTACATATATTGCGAGGTGTTAAATGTAACCAGGCCTAGTATTGCAGAGATCACATATGCTTTGATAGAAGATGTGGGCGATGTGTGTATACGACCTTGAATCGCATACCAAGGTCGCTTAGGCTGCAGTGACGGGTATCATTCCTGATTTAGTGCTCATTTCATTTTATCTTCATCTAGACTTGTCGCTTCTCTTCATAGACGATTTTTTACCAGTAATTTCTCAAGTGTAACACCCTCAAAGTGATATTGGATCAGTTCTCAGCGTCCTCTGCCCATGGTTTATCCATTTCGGGGTTTTACACTTAAAGTAACCGGTGTCACTCTCTCCTTTTGCTTTACTTTCATTACTTGGTTGATTTATTGATTTCTATGCTTAGTGAATGTTATTACTAGCCTTTACAATATGATCCCCCCTACCTCTCAATATTAGAACGTAGTTCTTTGATCTTGGGGATATTGCGAATTGAGTTTGGCTTAATTTGGGAATTATTGCAAATTGGGGATTATTGATTTACAACACAATCAGATATCACCTCTGCATAGCCTATTGAGATACGCATTGCATAATCAGCAGCCACATGCTGCCGTTGTGTACCACTAACTGCATCATGATGCTGAGCAATTGCCAGAGCATTGGCCAGGGCATCTGTATTTGGTCCGGAACTGCTCCTGCCCTTGTAAAATTCTAACTGCCTTGCAGCCTGAATTTGTAGCAGGATGAGATCTCAATAGAATGTAAACCCACAGAAGGGACAACAGGACAAAAAGAGTTTTAAGAGAACTTACCACATAGTAACCGCTCATTGTCCTGACATAACCTTTAAAAGCTGGCCTGCTAGTAAAGTATCCTGTCCAATAGGTATTTTCTTTATCTGCATATCTAGATTTTTTTATTTGGTCTTTTAGGAGCTAATAAGAGGGTACAGAGTATCAACTTTGTTCAACAGCGGCGGACAACATTGTACTTACGGGAAGAAGTCACCAGTTTTCAGAGGCCATGTTTCATTAGCTGCATATTTTGCATCTGTGTAAATGGATGGAGTAGAATATAGTGCATTCACACGACCATCCTATACAAACAATTATCATTAATCGATAAGCTTCTTTACAAGTAAAACTGACATAAACTACAAACAGAAAGAATGTGAAACCATGGATAAAAGAATCTAGAAGTAAATTTATATTCGAAACCCCACCACTCAAATAGATGTAAAGGCCAATACCAGGTTAACATAATGAATAAATTTGTCCATCTGCCTGAACCATGAAAGTGCATATTGATACCGGAAATCGGTTCCCATTGCCCACATTATATGGTTTGTCCTTGTTACATTAGCCTTCAATGGAAAAAGAAACATAATTAAATAGGTAAGTTTAAGGTGGAGAGGAGTTAAAGACGTACTGCTTTTGCTGAACGAAGTGAGCACAAGTGAGTCTATTCCAATACAAGGAAAATATGTTATATGGTAATGGTTCAACTTCACTTCATTTTAGCTAGAGATTGATGGAGAAATGAGCATAGAACCAGATTTTAATAGAAAGGAATAAGGGAGTAATAAAGAATAGAGAACACCCAAGTCATAGCATGCCATACGATGTCCTTAATTCAAATAAAATCATTGCTTAAAACTACCAAAAAAAAAAAGTTTCTGCCACATTGAGGTTGATTTGATGTAATAGAGATACAGTGACATACCTGGGCCATGGCAGCAGCTACAAAATCATTTACCCGCTCTTGAACATTGTAGTCAAAGAGGAGAACATCATCCTTTAAAGTAGAATTAGTAACTAAGCAAAAGCACCAAAAATATGATATCACACAACTTGTTTTTGATGCATTTACCTGAATAGGAGGAGATACATCATTTATTTCAAATGTGAAACCATCAGGGGGATCATAATGTCGGGGAAATATACCAGTAAATAACTGAAAGTCAGCCATGGGAAAGAGTTGTAAGTTTGTTTTTTTTAACGGTTGCAATAAACTAGCAGAAGCTTAAACTTTAGCAACGAAAAAACATCAATTGTAAGCAGAGCATACAAGCTGTCCACCCAGAAGTCGTCCATAAATATGAGATATGTTTGCTTGTTGGAAAATTAGTAGGTTGGAAGTTTAGCTTCCATCCCACATTGGTAGAGAATTGTTTTCTAGAGAAGCTTATAAGGCTTTCTCTAGAAATGGGCTTTGAACATGTTGGTGGGCTCGTGGTGGGGGTCTTGAGTGGAAGGCTCAACACACGCGCGCGTGGCCGAGGCTGAGGGCGTGGGATTCGCGAGGAGGCGCACGCCGCATCGGAGCCTCGCCCCGAGCTCCGAGTATCTTTTTGATAAAAAATTCGTGAAGGAGAAGGATAATTATCAGTTTTAATTTGGATAATTATTAGTTTTAATTCAAAAATTAATCTGACTTTGACTTGGTATTATCCACGTTTTTTTATAATGATCATGGGAGGATTTCGTGGAGCATAACTATGAGATTTTCCTGGAGCATTTCGTGGCTTCAACCAGTATTTAAACTGGGTTGAAGCCATCTCAAAATACATAGAAAAAACTGATATTTCCTCTCCTACGATTTCTGCTCTTTCTCTCTACCGTCTTCTACATACTCCTTGCTTTACATTCGTTTTTGGTTGTTGTTCATAAACGAATCGTGTACTGCATCAAATCCTGCGGCTTTGTGACTAGCAGACTCACAGCGTGTTAAGAGTGGTCGTATAAAACCTTAAAGGACAAGTTTTACCGTGCAGTTTCTCATCCAGATAGACATAATATTAAACAGGTTGGTTTTATAATTTTCGCATTGTATTTAATTTTCTGTTCACTAAGTGAACACTCTGCTTCTACCCCTTTCTTTCATTGAATCTATCGAGAAGGATAGATTCAATCTGTGTGAATTGGCACGTATTGAGGTTTTGGTGGGTCTGAATTCTAAAAGGTTTAACCTTTTTTGGCTATAATATAATTAATTTTTATAAATATTAAATCTTTATTTGGTTTCATCTTTCTTATTGGAATATATTTTTTCTACACTGCTTGCACATGGTGCACAGGCGGAGCCACCCTTGGCCCAGGGTGAGCCTAGGCTCACTCTCAACTTTGTGAAAACAAGTTTTTTGTAGCCCAAATCTTACTCCCTACACAAAGCCTCCCCCTTCACGCATCTAATATATACATATATATATATATGTATTATATGTAGACAGCCTAGTAAAATTACACCCCAAGTCTCTCCACATATATATAAAATTAAGGAATTAAGTCTCATAAAATTTATTATATATTCTATAAATACAATATAAGGAATTTTTATGAGACATGCATATTATATTAAATGTTTGGATTTATTAAAAGTAATATGTATGTTGTTTTAAAATGTTTTATCATCTATATTGAGTGAAGAAAGAAACTCTTATATATTGTTTTCTTGAAATGGTATGATTGGAGGTTATATAACTTTATCTTATAAATCCACGACTGAATTGGAGAAAATAAAATCCGTCGAGTTCACTGTTGAAACTGTGAAGGTCAATGTGCCACTTTCATAAGGTAGTTGTATATATTTATTTTTGGAGTGATCGTTATATCAATATAATATCTGTATATATTTGTTTATTTATACTTTTTAGTAAGAGGACCACCCTTGTCGATAATCTTGCTCACCTGCGAAGATGAACCAAGAGACCTAGAACCCTGCCAGACAACCTCAAGAGTCTTATCACATTTGCGCTTAGCCCTGTCTTGATAATCCATTCGAGCAAAGAAGAGAGAGTCAAATCCCACCTACAACAAAATGCAAGTACAGTAGATGAGATACGTAGGTGGAATAGATTACACTCGTGAAAGCTTGACTCGAATTCATGAAGTTTGAAATCAGACTTAATTTATGTGTATCCCTCTTCCTGAATCAATTGGAATGAAACTGAAAAGAAGAATATATAGGAAAAGACCGAAGTGCATACCTCAGCACCCAGCAAGTAAGCTTGAACAGAGGAGTGGCCAAAAGGATCTATCTGCCAACCAACTCTAGGTTTTTGACCAAACTCCCTGTGTATAAACATGTGTCCCAAAGTTGTTTGATCGATCAAGTCTATGTAATGTGGTGTTGCCTCATCGTGCATGCACATACCCCCATTTCTTAAGAGAGCAATTAAGTTGGGTTAAGAACACGTACATTACAATGTTTGATACAACAAATTCGGCAAGAAAATAGTCAACTGACATGAACTCAAGTTGACCAGAATTGACGAGCTCCTTGACTTTAGTCTTAAGTAGTCCGCTCTGCTGGTTCCACCATCGCTGGAAGAATGCCTGGGAAAAAACGTAAAAGAAAAAACAGATCAATTTCAAATGAAAACCTGATCACAAAGAAGATGGTCTAGATAGAAAAAGTGTTTGTGGAAGATACGGAAACAGCTGAATATCAGTCCTAGATAAGGAGTCAAGGGAACGGCAAAAAGAGCTCACGATTTCAACGTAGATGAACTTGCGATTCTTGTCATCGAGCAAAGCCGAAATCACGGAATCCAACACGTTTTGAACACAGGCACCCTATTACAATTTCCACAAAATGAATGAAATCAAACGCTTACTAACATTCTAGGTGCTGATCAATATGCATGCGCAGAGAAAAAGAAAAAGGGGGTTGATGTTACTCGAATGGAATTGTTAGCACCGGTGTAGTACTGATCGACGGTCTTCAGCCAGCCGACGTCATCATGAGAGTGAGGTACCAAATGAACATTGATCTTGTCGGCTAGGATTCTTTGAGAAGTATCATACACCATATACTTGCACTCCCCGCCCCAAAAGCAAAGAAACACAAGAAACGCCGAAACACTGAACAATCGCTTCATCTTCGTCGCTTCCTCCCGGCTGTTGAGGATCTACAAGCTTTGATTTCGAGCGATGTATTGTTTGACCATCAGGGATAAAATCAATCAAAACTAAAGCCCTCTTTTAGTGCAGACAGACAGGTAACTTATTTTTACCAAACCGATAATAAGCTATTTTGATAAGTGAATGATTAATTTAAAAATATTATATAAATTAACAAGCACTTTAAAAATATTATAAAAATATATCTCTTTAATTATGCAAAAAAGTTCCATTTATTATTTTTCAAATTCTAAAATTTATTAAAAAAGTAGGAAAATTTGTAATCTTTTTAAAATAGTAAAATCTCTAATTTTTTAGACAAGATAATTTATTTAATATATATTATTAAATAATATTCTTTTAATCTTTTATATACTCTACTTTCATATGAACAATATTGTGAAAGAGTTATTTTCTGTATTCAAAAAGACACGTGTTAATATCACCTGCTCATGGTTGAATTCAATCAGACTCATATTGAGAAACCACCATATTCCACCAGAAAACCATCGATGTCTTTGAAATCGAAATCGTTTTCCGACCAAACCCAAGATGAATAAAGAGCTACTTCTTCTGATAAATACACCAAGAACACCATCCCAACTTTGTTTTCTTCCTTACGATGATTAAATCTCTATCCTTTTACCCCTAACTCCTTCAGACCTAATTTTGTACTCTTTCAGATGATGAAATCTCTATCCTACATCGGGAAACCACCGTACTCCTTCAGATGATGAAATCTCTATTCCTAGCAGATTCAAACCTTAAATATACAAAAACGGAAAGTTTTATGAAAAGTTTTAAACCACATAAACATCGAGTTGGTGAAGAAGAAATACGAGAATTTCACATACCTAACACCACAATAACATCGACGTAGAAGATAGGTGACATGAGCAAGGGAATATTTGCAAGATGAAAGCCGATTGAAGAAGAAAGAGCGACCATTCGTGAAATTCGGGGACGCCGGTTCAAATCCCTGTTATTGGGTATTTGGGTTTTAATAAAATAATATTTTTAATTTTTCTATGTCACAAGTTCCACGTCATTTTCTTAATAACATGTCATTTTTAGTTTATCTGTTACCTGATGTATAGTAAACCAGGTACTTAAAAGTTTGAGATTTCACATATCAGTTACTAAAATGAAACTTTTGAAAGTACGCTCAAATTTGAATGAAACTAAAGTATGTTACATTTTTATGCAATTTGCCCAAAAAAAATTGTTACTGTGTCTATCTTTTTTCGTCCGTTGATTAAAAAAATCATTTCAAATCACACGCTACAATATTCAATATTCGTGGATTATAAAAGCGCTCGGATTTTGTCATATCATTAAAATTTTCGTTAAATAAAGGACATTTTAACCTTTTATTATTTGCTTATCTTTTTCTCTTCAGAAAATAAACTCTAATTCATATATATATATATATATATATATATATTAACTATTTTCTTCAGTAAACTTTACTGGCCTTGGTTATCTTCTCCTGTCAAGGGTGAAAACACACACACACATCTCAAAAACAAATAAATTCCAAATATAAATCTCAAATCAAAATCAAATCTATTAACAATTAAAACAATAACTTAACCGGCAATCTATAAACCTTTATCAAATAACCCAAATTAAAACCAAAAACAAACCAAATCTAAATCCTAATTGATGAACCGTTTGCAATCGAGATGCAAACTTTACAAAAATTATAGTGATTGTTGTCTTGAAGTTGCAACGACGGGATTGTAGAGAGAAATCAAGGGAGCGTTGGAACATTATGAACTGCACTTGGTGTAATAGGAGGGGAAGAAGGGATAGGAGTTTGTTGGTGCTCATAGCAGGAGAGGGTAGAAGCAGGGATATGATTGGCGAAGATCGTGTCTCGGCCACCTGTGGGGAGTAGCAAAGAGAATAGAAGTTATTGGCATTCATTTGAGAAGGATAAGGTGGTGTCATTCATTGGAGGAGAAAGAGTTGTAGGTGAGTGGAGTGTCTATCGGCAATGATTCCATTCTAACATTCTATCATACTTACAAATGTTTTAGAAAATTCTAGCTTTTAGGGGAACCATTATGTGGGACATGACATAAAGGTATGTTTGAATGAAACATTTAATACATGTTTGTGTTTATATAAGATATCATAATTATTTGACAAATTCGTTTTGTAAAGAACTTCAAAATAACATGAAAAAAGAGTTTGAGTCTCATTTGATACCAATCTTATTCTATCTAGATAAATATCTAAGTAAAAACAAGTTGTTGACCATCCGGTTGGACATTAGTTGAGTAATATTTTGATGGTGAGTGTATGCAAAATTTTGAACAAGTTCTATAAATATTTTTTCGATTCTTAACTTCTAACTTTGGAAGAAATCATTTGCCAACCAATCAATTTTAGAATGTGTCATCATGCCTTGAACTTTATAATCATTTTGTTACCCGTCAATTGCAAATATCCATTAATGAAAGGATTTGTAATCATATGGTATTCAAGATTTGCCTCCAGCTCTTGAAATACATTCACAAATAATAAACATTTACAAAATAAATAAAATCGAGCAGTTATTCTTTATGCACTTAAAAACAGCTGAATCTTCTTTCCAAACATAATTAATTAAAGTGCACACAACAACAAATTTACTAGCCTGCAGTAAATCAATAAATTTCAATTATTTTGGAGCCCTGAAAAGTTGACTTCCAAGGGTCATAACTGGGGTTCCTTCCACTATCATTGTCGTCAAGATCATTTCTTTTCAAGTATTCCATCCAATTATGATACTATAGGCCTTCTCTCGCTAGAAATCTCATGACATCCACCTATCAACTCAATGTACTCTTCCACGCATTGTGTTGTGAAGTTGTTCCCAAGTTGTGGATCAATAATATTAGATACTGACTCCTTTATAATTTTGCATCTTTTTTGAAACAAAAGAAATTAGTTCGAAAGCTTCAACTAATTGGTTCATAAGCAATATATAAAGATAAGAGCAAAGCTAATAGTGTGACTTTCTTTCCACTTGTACCAAACAAAGACATATACATAACTACCAAAGTAGTGAAATACCCATCCGACAACATTTTGGTTGGAGTCTGAAGATAGCAATTCCGCTGCTTCCTGCCTACTCACCAATTCCAGCATGAATACACCAAAGCTGTAGACATCGCCTTTTTTAGAGAGACGTCTAAACTATCTCACCCTATAAGAGATACAAATTCAGAACAAGGTTGCACATAAATCATAAATAAGAACAAAAACATGGTACTTCAAAGGCATAGAGAGGGTATCACTTTGAGGCAAGGAATATCTTATCGGCTATGATTTTAGAAAATGGTCTTGCGAAAAATCAGCGACCTTAACTATAAAGTTCTTATCTATGAGAATGTTTGTTGTTTTGAATTCTTTGTGTGCCAAAGGGGGACTTAAGGAATGGAGATGAGCCAAACATGAACACATAAAGAGCTTTGCTTGGAAACCAATATAAGAAGAAAATGGACAAGCAGCCCTAGTAGCTTAATCTGTCACAAGCAAATTGCAAAATAATCTGCATTTTATCTATAAAAAAAATGAACAAATACCAGGAAGCAAGAGATGCTCACTGATTTTGCAGAGGATCGCCTTTAGCTACTCCAAGAGCTATTAAAGCCTATGCTTGAATATAGCCGACCTAGTATGACATGGTTAATATGAGGTATTTCCCACTACTTCCTTTACTCTCACCAGTCTTTAAAATACTGACCGGTTTGCAATGCATTTCGCTGTAATCTCATCAAACACAACTTGATATTTCACTTCTAGTTTCTTACTACTGGTTGTTGCAAACTCGTCTTTGTAAAGAGTATTTTTATTGAATATCACATCTCTGCTTCTAATAACTCCTTTGCCATGATTACCCCAGAAGCAATAGCCCATGTCATCCAACCCATAGCTAATGAAAGTACAACTTTTTTGCCTTTGTCTCAAGCTTGTCTTTATATGCATCCTTGATTTTAATGTAAGAAACATAACCAAACACTTTTAAGTGTGTAAGAGGTACCTATCGACCTTGCCATTCCACTTCTGAAATCTTGCACCCTATGGGACTTGAGGGTACATATTTGATTAGATAGGCTGTTGTGCATACCAAATTTGCTCATAACATCTTTGATAGACCTGTACGTAATCTCATTCTCTCTACCCTCTCATTCAATGTCCTGTTCATTCTCTCAGCAACACCATTCTACTGAGGTGTCTCTGGAATCGTCTTTAGCATCATTATCCCATTTTTAGCACAATAATCAATGAATTCTTTGTTGTTGTATTCGCCCTCATTTTCTGATTTCAAACACTTGATCTTTAGATTTTTTTAATTATCCACAACAACGTTCCACTTCTTGAAGGTGCTGAAAACTTCAGATTTATTTTTTAGAAAATAAACTCATACCTTCCTCGTGGAATCATCTATGAAAGTAACATAATATCGTGAGCCTGCCATTGAAGAAACTATCGGGGGTCCATAAACATCACAGTGAACTAGCTCCAACTTCCCAGCCTTGGGTGGTTGTCCCATCTTCACAAAGGTAACCTTATTTTGTTTGCCAAGTACACATGACTCACAAAGTCAACTTTCACATTCTTCAAGTATGGAATTATGCCTTTGGAAGCTAGCATCTCCATCCCTTGCTCACTCATATGCCCAAGTCTTTGGTGCCATATAGTAGAAACCCTTATATCTTTGACAGCTGCATTAGCCCCATCTGCAAATAGTTCAACCATATATAAGGTTCCCAATTTCTGTCCACGAGCAATTTCTAGGTTCCCCTTTGCTACCTTCCACTTACCAAAACTAACATGGTGGCCTTCGTTATCTAGCTACCCCACTGATACCAAACAGATTTGAACTAAAGATGTCTTGAGGATGATATATCCAGCACCTGTGATATCAAGGCTCTTGTAATCAGCTAGCCTCACATTCCCGTTGTAATGCTTGAAAAATTCTGCATCAGTTCTCTGAATGGCTAGCATGAAACGAGGCACCCGAATCCATAA